TACCCAAGCGTCTCTATAAATCATGTATTTGTAGGGACGGTTCTCAGACCGCCCTTACAAATCAATTTGCAGAGGCGGCTGGTGTTATCAGTCGCCCCTACAAATCGATTTGTACCAGCCGTCCCTATAATACCTGTTTGTAGGGGCGGTTCACTCTAGAACCGCCCCTACAGTATATTTTTCCACACAAAAAAAATTTCAAATTTACAATTCAAATTCGACCTGTGTGTATATATATATATATAATTCAAATCTGAGCATATGCACAACCCAATATCATTACATCCATTATCATATTCAGATTAACCAAATTTAACAAGTTTTACAGCATCAATACACACCACGTTGCAGTGGAAGCTTATCGAAATCATACAAAAAAACTCAAGAGCATACCAAAATCATAAAATAGCTAAGTTCATCAATTCCGATAGCTTTTCCATTGTTCTTGTTTCCTGCACATGAGTGAGTGAGAAATCCGAAGTTAGGATGATGGGTTGCAAATAAAAACCACCGGTTATGAGAAATGAAGACACAACGATCTAACGATATGTTATTGTTGCAAATTTAAACGAAAGTAGATGCCGACTTGAATAAGAAGCTAACTCATTTATACGGGAGACAAATCTACTAAAGAAAATGTGAAAAAAGAGAGGACCGGACAACACTTATCGCCACCACCTCGGAGATGAGCCAAAGCACCGATGAAGATGGACCGGCATGGCTGCGCTAGGATTTGGCCTGACGCCACTCCACAATGTGCTGCGGCCTAGCACCGATGAAGGGGCCCTAACTGCTTGAGGAAGCACCCAAGGATCCGACCGCATCAGATCTCCGCCCGCTCGCATCGGATTCAGATCCGGTCGCGCCAGCCCTCAATCCACCACCGGGGACGCCACCACCCAAGATCTGCCGCTTGGAGGATGGGCCCTCCCTGGATCTGTCGTCGGGGAGCACACCCGCCCTTGATCCACCGATGGGGGACATCACCACCCTAGATCCGTCGTCGGATGATAGAACCGCCTTAGATTTGTCGTCAGGGAGCGCGTCCGCCCTGGATCCACCGTCGGGGGGCGTGGCCGACCTAGATCCGCTGCCGGGGGGTGCCACGCGTGCCGCCGTCATCGGTATGGGTAGGCCTTACCTTGCTGCTCCGGACTCCAGAGGGATAGCGAGGCCGCCTTGCTGGCGCTCCAGCAGATCTGTAGCAAGAGGAGTAAAAGAGGTCAGGACAGGGAGGATCTAAGCGGCCAGCGGAGGGCCAAGGCCAACCCTAGTCTCCACTCCACTCCACGTGGCCTAGGAAAAGTAGGTAGTGGAGTAGGGGGTGTGCGCCCAGCCGCGAGGAGAGGGAACAGGCCGGCGGTGAGAACGGCGTAGATCCGCCGCCGGATCTGTGAAACCGCGTCCGAGCAGCACAGCCCGTCGGCGGAGGGGCGCGCGCCTAAAATCTACAAGGACTCGGTCGGACGAGGAGGTGGCGCGTAGACTCACCCAGAACAGCGGAGGGAGCTCGACGGAGCGGGGCTGAACTTTCGCCCACGGAGGGAGGTGGAGAGGATGGACGAGCGAGGCGTCTGGAAGTCACACGGTGCGGCAGAGGCCCGCGTGCTGGCAGAGGCGGCGTGGCAGATGGCGAACAGCGGGATTCAGGGAGAAACAACCACCGGAGGTAGGACGAGGCACCCAGGATGTGAAGTCATGCTGCGGATGAGCAGCTCGCCGACGGCGGCAGTAGGAAGCACGCCGTCGGGGATGGGAGGAGGAAGAAGAAGGTGGGGAAGGGAGGAAAAAGGGTGGCGGAGATAGAATAGGAAAATCTGGTTAGGGTTTGGGAAGTCCGGCGGTTTTGTTCCTGGTGGGACAAACTTCGACCGTTGGATTCAGACCAAGGGCTTAGATCATTGACAGCCTTAACAGTCCTGTGGGTTTAAGTGGCCTACAAGCGAAAGTGAGGCCCAAGCCCAGGTTTGGAGCCTACGGGTTTCGACGGCAGCATTTGTAGGGGCGGCTGATGATTGAGCCGCCCCTACAAATCGCAACACCGGGGGCGGCTAGTGAGTGAGCCGCCCCTACTATTCCATTTGTAGGGGCGGCTGGTCTCGTGTGTTCGAAGCACGTCCACTGTAGGGGCGGCTCCATCACCAGCCGCCCCTACAAAAAAATTGTTCCGTTGCTACAAACGTTTTTTGTAGTAGTGTCCCATGTATATATCTCCAAATTTAGGGTGTATATAGCCCAAAAGAGTGTATGTAGCTGGAGTATATGATCATAATAGACCATATAGGGTAGTATGTATGTCAAATATGCAAGTATACATAGTATATTGTTATACGTATTTTATATACTACTATAGTGGTATTATAATAGTATATTAGAACATAGGGGCTCTTTTGAAAAAATCATGTAGTAAGTTTCGGAGTATCTTAAAATGAGTACATAATAAACATTACTCAAACTGATCGATAAATGAGTATGCACCCACATGCAATGTTATTTATTGAAGGTGGAAGTATTAGTGGCCGAGATGCTTCATGGCTTGATGTAGAATTGATTGAAAGCTACAAGCAGCATAGTTGAAATCATGATGCGGAATATGTAAGTAGTATCAACAAATAGAATATGAGAACCATCCTCTCAAAAAAAAAAGAATATGAGAACGATGACATAATAATAAGTATACACTTTTAGCACCACTTTGGTTTTATTGCTTCATTTTCATTGTGCCAAGCAATCCTTTTACTTAATGTTGCCACATCTGGACTGCCCTCGTGTAAAGCTTGTATCGGAAAGATGAGAAGTAGGGCAGATAAGTATCCATTGTCCACAAGCGCCATTAAACAAGTTTTCACAACATTTCTCTCATATGATTCAGTGTGCTTCCATGTAACAGAAATTTGTACAACACTGATTTCAAAAAATGATATGACACAATCGAAATTGTCCATTAAGGGATATGTTTGTCACATCATTGATTATTGTATCAACTCAGAGGAACCATAGTTAATCTTAGAGCCATTTGATGGGCTCAATTCTCTATAGTAGATGTAGATTTCAAAAGGATGTTAGGAAGGATTGCATAATAAAGTCTAAAAACATATATGGCGTGCTTTCTTTGGTACCGCCGCTGGGTCTCAGAACGTCATAAACGTTCTAAACAAGTCACCATTGTTCATTCAAGCAATAAAAGGGAAAGCTCCTACGGTACACTATAACGTAAATGGAAAACAATATGACAAGGGTTACTATCTTGACAATAAAATATATCCAAAATGGGTAGTATTTGTGAAGATAGTAACGACCCCTCAATCGGCGAAGATAAATTATTTGCATTGATGAAAGAAGGGCCAGGAAAGATGTCGAGTGTGCATTTGGTGTACTGCAATCATGCTTTGATATTGTTCGTCAACTAGCAAGGTTATGGAAGCAAGGGGGGAAGTTATCAACATAATGCAAGCTTGTGTTATCCTTCACAATATGACAGTGGAAGATGAGAAGGAATCAATTAGAAAAGTTTTGGATTTGAATGAGAATCCAAGTGCGACGATAGTGCTCCCACTTGAAGTGCATACAAGCGACAACCCTAACCCATGCTTCGTAGAGGTACTTCATAGAAAGTCCGCTATTAAAGCTCGGCCAACACATAGAAACTCAAGAAGGGCTCTAATCGAGCGCATCTGGCAATGCTATATATGGAAACAAAGGAAAATAGACAAAAAGCATTGCAACTATATATAATATAATTATTATAGTGGTGGTTCTAAAAAATATTGTAATAATCATGTTGCTCTTATTTATGCTGGATACATTTTCTATCAAATAGCAACACAATGATATATAAAAAATTATTTATAGTTAATCTTAGCTACATGCAGAGCATTAAACAACTTGTAGACAATGAGATACACTATATGTTGCATGACTTGTTGTACGATAGATTCGAGGCGACGGTCCCCGTCTATACGTTGTACATACCCTAAAGCTACCAAGAGTCGGAACCGTTTATTGAACTAGGAGCTAAAGCTAAAATTTTAGTTTTTACTAGATCTTCTCAAAAATACTTTTTGAGATCGTTTTGTTGATCTTTTTTTACAAAATGCTTTGCCTTCACTAGAGAGGCTGCTCTATAAAAAAAACAAAGCGAAGCAAGGCAGAACAGTACCAAACTAACTCAAATCTCGCATTAGTCAATATATCTCAAATTTAATTAGTTTTATAGAAAGAAGTATCAATATTTGTATCTTTAAATAAGTTACTACATTATAAAAATATGTTTCAGAACTCATATTACGCATCATAAATATTAGGATCTTTCTATACATTTAGATGAACATGTGATTAATTGAGTAAAAAACGGAGATACATTTTTCTATAATGAAGTACTTTTTATACATGCTCTAGAATAAAGGCGACGATGCTAATTACCAGCTGTCATGCGTCACCTGCTCTAGAATAAAGGCAATGATATCTCCGTGTCTCTAAAAGAATAATGTGCATGCTGTCGGTGTGGGTTCCATTCTCAGAATCGCACTCATGTCTCTGATCAGGACTCGTTCCTAGCAAATAATATCTGCAACCTCTTTCACGGAGAGCCACACTATTTTCAGAAAATGACGATGTTGATGTTCTGATCTCAAACATACAAATAAGAGTAACTACAATAATCGATTTATAGCTAAGCTAGTCAGCATTTTTGTTGACGTAGAAAAGAGAGAGGAGAAATGAGAACTTGGGGCTCTCATGCAAGCGACAAGTTGGACGCAGAAGCATAGACATATGTGGGTCTAAGTAAAAGTGTATGTGAGGGGATAGAAAAAAAAAGTAAGATATGATACCACATAATAATAGAAATTTTTTATAGACACATAGAAGACAACTACTGTATAAATGGGCTCTTATAAAACCAAATAATTGGCTCTATTATTGCCCTTGCTCTAATAGTACTAACGTCCATCGCTGGCTGTGTTGCGGCCTATTTAATCGGTGAGTGTGAGAAGAACAAAATGAAATCAATGGATTTCAAGGTGCAGTTGGTAGAGTCGTCGTTTGTAACGCCGACCGAGCCGTCACCAAGGAAGGAGCTTTGGCTCTCTTCTTTAGACCTCGTGCAGGCCAACAAAGGCCACACCCCAACGATCTACCTGTACAGCTCCAACGATATTGCTGCTGCTGATTTCTTCAACGTGGCCAGGCTCAAGGAGGCTATGGCCAAGGCCTTGGTGGCCTTCTACCCCCTCACCGGCCGCCTTGGCGTCAACGACGATGACGATAGGATGGAGATCAGCTGCAACGGAGAAGGTGCACTCTTTGTTGTCGCTCACGCTGATGATCTCAGTGTCGATGACGTCAAGCAATTCAAGCCATCGCCAGAGCTGAGGAGACTGTTTGTTCCACGTATTGAGCCATCGTCCATCATAATGGCCATACAGGTCCACTACTTTTCTTTGCTTCCATGCTTTTTAATATTTTTCAACTTTCGACTCTCACGGTAGTATGCTTTTTAACATTTAACTATAAAAGGGAGTACATAAATTGGGTCCTCTTGTTGGTTTCACAGATGGTTTTCTATTTTATACAAATATAGTAAGCAGTTGTTTTGCTATCTAAAATTCAAAAAACATTTTAAATCAGAAAAACGTGAAACTAGTATGAAAATGTTATATTAATATTTATGATCTATATATAATTATTAGGAACTGAATTATTTATGTTACTATTGTTTTATTGCCTGTAGTCGTGTTTATTATTTATTTCAAAAAAATAAGAACCAAACAACTCTAAATAAAACACTAACAGATACATAACATTTTATAAGAAAATTGGTACTAGTTTTTAAATTTCTCCAATTCTAAATGAATTAATTATAATTTTTATCGTATTTTTTTATTTTTAGAAAATAGAAAACCATCTATGCATATTATATATGAATTGGCGTGCTTACGATGGCAGGTGACTTTCTTGAAGTGTGGAGGGATCACTACCGGAAATAGGCCGTTGCCGAGAGCCAGCGTCTTTGTCGAGAGCCAAATGTCGGCCTCTCGGCAAAGAAAGGTTTGCTGAGAGTCGGCCCTCGGCAACGGTAGGCCGTCGGTAAAGAAAGGCCGTTGGCAAAAGTTTATCTTTGCCGAGGGCCGGCTCTCAGCAAAACATGGCCGTCGGCAAACCTGTGACGGTAGGCAAACGGCCTTCACCTGCCGTCTGTTTTGCCGAGGGTCAGAATTTGGCCCTCGGCAAAGAATTACTTTGCCAAGTGTCGTTTCTGTGCCCTCGGGAATTTTTTTTTTGCTTCCAAATTTTTTCCCTGGGTTTACTGTTGTACCTTAAAGTACATATTAAAATTTGGAGCTTTTTTTATTTTATTAGCTATATTTAATAAGTTTATTTCATTTACTTGAATTCTTCCCGGTAATTCAAATTTGAACTGCAGGTGCATCGAATATTGGAATTGAGTGATTCAAAAAATCATATTCATGGTATTGCATGTGTGTGAGACCGTATCCAGTGACAGATGCCAAATTTGGCGCATCGTTTTCACGGAACACGGCGAGGAACTTGCGTGTAAAGTATTTTTAAATTATATAAAATGGAAACGAAGTCCGAAATTCACGAAACTTGTCGAGGTGTCATTTCATCGCATGTATAGGCTGTGATAAAAAATTGAGTGGGTTTCGAGCAAGTTGTGATGTCTGATGCCTAAAACTCAGACATCTCCGCATGCAGCCTCTCCCCCGCCCCCGCCCTGTCACCACGCCGCCGGAGCAGCAGCCCGGCCCGCCGAGCGCCGTCGTCGTCGGGGCCACGTCGTCGCCCGCCTCGCCCGGTGGTCGGGCACCGCCGCCGCCCCCCGGCCACGCCCGCCGGTGGCCCACCCCCGCGGCCAGTGCGTCCCCGGCCGGCCCCGCGCGCCCCCGGCCACGCCCGCCGGTGGCCCACCCCCATGGCCAGCGCGTCCGTGGCCGGCCCCGTGCGCCCCCAGCCAGCCCCGTGCGCCCCTGCCGGTCGTGCAGAGAGCATTTGGAGGAGGAAGGGAGAAGAGAGGAGGAGAAGGGGAGAAGAAGAGGAGCAGGGGAGAAAGGAGGAGGAGGGGAGAAGAGGAGGAGAAGGAGAGGGAGAGGAGGAGAGCAGGGGAGAAGAGGAAGGGAGAAGAGAGGAGGGGAGAAGGAGGGGAGAAGGAGAGGCTGACGACCATCACGCCCCCGCGTTGTCGCGTCACGCCGAGCGATCGTCGCTGTTTTCCCCGCGTCTAGCCGAAGACGAGGGTGATCCCGACTCCGCGTCGCCCGACTACACTGCCACCCAAGGCAATGCCCCCCTCCCGCCTGTTGCTGGCCTTCGTGCCATTTTTGGATTAGTGGGCCTTCGTGCCTTTTGTGGATGTGTTGGCCATCGTGCCATATGTCGCTATGTCGGCCATCGTGCCGAAATTGTGGATGTCGGCCATCGTGCCGTCTTTTTCCTTGTAGGTTTTGGAAGCCTCCCCGTACAGGGGAGGTTCTGCCGAAATTTTGAACATATAAATTGTGTTTCTTGTTTTGCAGAGAAGAGCCCGACGGCGGGGACCTGGAGTACCCCGAGCGTCTTCCTTTGGGTCTGCCTGCACCGCGTCACCTCTCCACTCCACCGCCACCCTAGGTATAAGCCCTTTGTCCGTAACCCTAGCTAGATCGCGTAAACCAATTAGGCGTCTCCCGTCCAAAAGAGATACGGTCGTAAGTATGCGGATCTCTGCATATCTGCGACCGTATCTGTTTTGGATTGTCCACGTTATTTGGACAGCCAGCAGATGTGTAGATGATTTAGTTTGTATGGTCCGGTCCGAGATGGGTTTTCAGCAGCACCTCCCTGTTGTTCTCCGGATACACACTCTCCCTTCCAGGACGTGTATCGGGAGAACAACGGGGATATGCTGCCGAAATTCTATCTCGGATTGGAGCGGAGCATAGAAACTAACCTCATCTACGCATCCGCGGATGGGATTAGGACATATCCCTACCTATTAGATAGTAGGCAAGCGGTGCATATGCTATTGATGGTTATATTACTCTGTTATATATATGGTAGATGGTGTCGCGTGGTTGGTGGTGGTGGTGTGGTCGTGGTGGTGGTGTCGCGTGGTTGGTGGTAGTGGTGGTGGTGTGGTCGTGGTGGTAAAAAGTACATGTAGTGCTTGGTTATCTATTTATGTTGTCTAACACGTTCTGCATCTTCTTTGTTTGTGTAGCGTCAGTCGGCGGCGTCGAACGACCCTAACCTTCTCCTCGTCAACTCCCCAGGATCGCACGCGGCGCCTTCTCGGCCCGGACCGTCGCCGTGACCAGTTTGACGCCTCCTATGCCTCTTGTTTATGTTGCTTGTTGAACTTTACACTTGTGGTTGTCTATGTGTCGAGATTTATTTGTGACTTCGAACATCGATACTTCTATGTGATGTGGATGTGAATTATGTGATGTGGATGTGGTTATTGATATGTGGATGTGCTTATTGTGATGTGGATGTCATATATATGTTTATTTGTTGACTGGAAATGCAAAAAACAAAAAAAAAATTAAAACTGGCTGTGGCTTTGCCGAGGGCTATGGTCATGCCCTCGGCAAAGCTGGGAATTCTGGAACACATAGAATCCTAGCTTTGCCGAGCGCATGACCATAGCCCTCGGCAAAGAGGAAGCCTTTGCCGAGAGCTGAGCCATAGCTCTCGGCAAAAAAATGTCTAAAAAAATTGTCAATATTCTTTGCCGAGAGCTATTCTGACAGACGCTCGGCAAAGTTTTTTAGAAAAAAAAATTCAGAAATCCTTTGCCGAGAGCCCGAGATGCAGCTCTCGGCAAAGTAGCCTTTGCTGTGAGGTACTGTGCCGACCGGCCTTTGCCGAGAGCAACTCTCGGCAAAGCCTTTGCCGAGGGCAAAGGCCTCTTTGCCGAGCGTATCCGGCCCTCGGCAAAGAACCTCGTTCCAGTTGTGGATGGCGTTAGGAACAGCTCTTCATCACGTCGCCATAGATGCTTCAAGTGCGTTCCACTTTTTTTAGACATGGTCGGCCTTCTCCAAGCATGGTGACCATGCTGCCATGGAGCTCCCGTGCCACGACCGCACCCTACTCCGTGCACGGTCGCCGCCCACAGTCCACCCCGACGCACTCTTGACATTGCACCCTAAGCCCATCTTCTCTGACCCGGAGGGACCTCTTGCCTTCGAAGTCTTCACCATTTCCAGGGACCAGGTCGCCTCCTTGAAGCACCTCTGCGGTGGCACGAGCACCTTTTGCGCCCTGAGCTCTCTCATCTGGCAGTGCACGTGCGTTGCGCGCCAGCTTCCACCGGAATCTGAAGTGCGCATCGTGTTCCCGGCTGACCTCCAGCGCCGGATGAGGCCACCCCTCCCGAGCCACTACTACGGCAACGCGATGTTCAGGCTATGCGTCACCGGCGCGGCGGGAGAAATTGGCACGGCGGCATTGGGATCCATCGCTGCCCGCATCAAGGGCACCGTCGAGCGGATGGATGACGAGCTGGTGCGGTCCGCGATTGACTACTTCCAGATGGCTGAGATGGACAAGAGACCGGCTTTGAGAGGGACCTTGCCACTGACGGACCTGCATATCTTACCATATGAATACTGCCTCCAAAAGCTGTCCAGCCAGCGTGCCACGTCGCGTGCTTCTCTCGGCCGTTCGATCGGGCGCGCGGATGGCCCAGTTCGGGCAAGTCGCGGTATTTTTACAAAAAAAAACCTCAAATTTTAGTCGAATCAACCCGTAATCCAGGCCTCCTCTCATATTTTGTTTCAAGAAAGCCCTCGAACTTTACCGAAATCAACCTTCAATCCAGGCCGGCTTGCCTTCCGCTCGGGCCTGACTTCGATCCATCCTCCCGTGCCGTGCTCCCCCATTCCTGAATTCCGGCGCTCCTCCTCCCGTAGCCCCATGCCGCGCCGCCGCAGCTCTCGTCCCCGCCGAGTGCTGCCCCCGTCCTAGCCTCCACTCAGGCCGCGCTGCCGAGCGCCGCCTTAACGGGAGGCCCGACGCTCCTCTTCCCATAGGCGCGCGCCGCGCTTCCGCCGCGGCCACCACTCCCGCCCTCGCCCCCGTCGCAACCCCCACCCAGGCCGCGCTGCCGAGTGCCACTGCCGCCACCGCCGAAGCGGCGTCGCCGTTCGACGCCCGCGCCCCGTCGAGGTCGCGCCACCACCGCCGCTGCTCGGCACGAGGGGCGCCGCACCTGGCCAGATGGCACAAGCTGTCTGCACCGCCAAAGGGCAGCGCGAGAGAGCAACAGGACCTAGTGCGGACGATCCGAGTGGGCTCGGCCAGCAGCTACAGGATTACAGGAGGTCCAACTGCAACAGCAACTCTCCTCGCCCTCGGGCAGCTGCGAGTGTGCCAGCAGCGTACGGGCATAGCACACCTCGTGTCCCCGCGACCTGTTCAACGAAATGCTGCGTTGCGTCTATACGGACCAACGAGCAACAAATCAACTACAGGAACTGCTGGCTTCCCCGAGTGCCAGTTGCACTAGAGGAAGGCCCAGTTACACTCGGGGAAGCCTTCCCCGAGTGCAACACTCGGGGAAGAACCTCCGGCTAATCCTCCCACGGGAAAGGCGCCTTCCCCGAGTGTCGAAAATCGTGCATTCGGGGAAGGCTTTGTCGATTGCCCGTGCTGGCACTCGGGAAAGACTTGACGCCGTTGGCCGACGGCCGACGCCGTTTTCTTTTTTTTTCTTTTTTTTTGATTTTCTTCCCCGAGTGCAACACTCGGGAAAGATTTTTGAATTTTTTTTTAAATACTCTTTGCCGAGTGCCGCAACTCAGGCACTCGGCAAAGAAATTTGTTTTTTTTAAAAAAAATCCCTCTTTCCCGAGTGCCACAGCACAGGCACTCGGGGAAGCCACCTCCAAATTTTTTTTTGTTTTTTGCTTTTCCATGTAAACAACAAAGCATATATATATATATCACAAATCAACACCAATATGTCACAAACCACATTTATATATCACAAACGATCAAATTTGTTCAAAATCCACAATATATTAGAAACCACACGTTCAAAAGTACACACTATCACTACTACAGAATTTAACTGTAGGGGCGGCTCTAGAGCCTCTGTAGGGGCGGCTGCGGCAGCCGTCCTTCCCAAGGTGTTCCTACAGAGGGTGCCTCTGTAGGCTACAGAGGGTGCCTCTGTAGGGGCGGTTTCCTGACCGCCCCTGCAATGCCCTCTGTAGGGGCGGCTAGTGTTTTCAGCCGCCCCTACAGTGCTATCTGTAGGGGTGGCTGGTAATATCAGCCGCTCCTGTAGTGGACTTCTGTAAGGGCGGCTGTATCACCAGCCGCCCCTGCTGTGTGTATATTTGTAAGGGCGGTTCAATCAAGAACCGCCCCTACAGTGGATTTCCAGCAAAAAAAATTTAAATTCAAATCTGACCACATATGTGTGTGTGTATATATATATATAATTCAAAACAAGTAACAACAATCTTTTCTCAACTCTGACATATATTTAAACATTTCCAGGAAGTACACCAATTCACACTAATCTGGAGCTAATGCCATGTACTCATCATAACATAGAAACAGGAAAATATATCAAAGGATGCCTCAATTCAGTTTACAGAACAAATGAAATCATGTTGTGCAGAGCATACCAATCTGTTTTGTGCTTTCTAGCTAGGGATTGGAGCACTCCTTGGAGTTAATGTGTTTATCCCACTCTGCCCTCTGCCAAATTTAGATTCCTGTAAGATTAAAACCACAAATTATGCGTCGGTCAGATTATAAGCAGATAGCATGGTCACATTCACATTCAGTAGGTAGATAACAGGACTACAGGAGCATGGTCACATTGACATTCAGTAGGTAGATAACATGATCTTAGCCAATCTAAAAGAAAAAAAAAACAATATCATGCATCAGCATGACATGATCTCGGTCCTTGTCCAGCAGCATGAACATAAAAAAAAAGCCTTAAAAAGTGACAGTTTTCATCATTCAGTCTCCATTCAGTTTTCAGAGACAGAATTTTCACAGGAATATGCAGTTGTAGTTGCATAAATTGCTACGTTGGTGAAAAATTGCTGCACAATAATTATAAGCTGCAGATTTGACCCGTTCCTAACTAAAATAATAAAGACAACCATTTGTCATAATCGAAATAAGCTGCAGATTATAAGTCGCAGAATTGTAAGTCTATGAGAAATTATAAGTTGCACAAGAATTATAAGCTACAGATATCAATGATTCCTAACTAAAATAATCAAGACACAAGCATTTGTCACAACTAAAATAAGCTAGCTGCAGAATTATAAGCTGCACAAGAATTATAAGCTGCAGATTCCAACGGTTCCTAACTAAAATAATCAAGACACAAGCATTTGTCATACCAAGAACTGTTGTGTCTGCAAAATTTCTTGAACCTCCTCTATTTTGAGCTGGATCATCAGAACTCATGCGCGATTCTTGGCCTCTGTGTCTCTTTGTCTTGTACTCAGTCTTGTACTCATCAGAAGTCCAGTATTTGGCAAGCAAGGCCCAAACTGCCCTGTTGCACCACCCCACCCGACAAGTCAAGTACTGTTCTATATATCACACTTTCTGCACATAACAAGGACAAGAAACAACACATATATTTTAGTTTCACAACAAATTGGCACAACAGTCAACCAATAGAGGCATTGTAGTTAATGTCAGAAAAAGATATAACGAAGCATGCATCTTACAAACAGATACATTCGACTTAATGTCTAACACACAAATGTCATCTCAATCAAATGCACAATTGATGATACTTACTACTTTGTTGCTTGAAATCTGTCGATGCTAGTACTGTTACACGGTACACAGATCGTTGCCTCCACAGATCCTCAATTCATACCTAAAAAGTTGCTAGAGACCATCAGATTCTTACATAGGAGGAAGCTATAAATGAATGACATTCACCATTCACATGGGCAATGAAGGGAGCTTACCAGCCAAGCAAAAGGCACAAGCTACTCAGATCAAACCTGAAAAAAGGTACAACAATCTATTTAGCTATATATGGATGTTATCTGCAGAAATCACAAAATGTCCAGTTCCTTAACTCAGCAATGATCTAAAGTGCTGTGAGACCCAACAATTCGGAGAACACGTGTTTTATATCACATAAATATTTTAGTTCACAACTACTAATCGTAAATATATAGACCTGTTGCTACCACAAAAAAGAACCCTTTTCAGATCACTACACAAAGATATGCACTCACAAAAAAAATACACTAAATTTGTAGCTTATCTGAAATTGAATCCAGCAATGCCACTAGTTTTGAACCAAAACTGAAATCAAAACAATACCATGTCCCCATCTTAGAACTGACCTCGGAATCTGTAGGTTTCAGATCCTACTAACGAATCAGATAAAAAAGAACCTATAGCAACTAAAAGAACGAACTCCAGGGCGCCATCAAGCCGGAGGGTGGTCTGTGCAGGCTGCCGGTAGCCTGGGTACCCGGTGGATCTGCGGCTGTGTAGATGTGGAGCCCCGGCAGCCCTCGCAAAAGGAAGGGGATGGCCGTATGCGGGGCAGGTCGGCGCTGGGGCTCACCTCGTCGACAGTGGCGATGTGGTCAGTCGGCGCCGAAAGACGAGCGCAGATTCTGCTGGAACCGTCGCCCCCCCGCCGCAGCGACAGAAGCTGGTCGCCCGCATAGGAGCCGCCCAGAGAAGCCGCCTGTCGCCTCCTCAGAACCGCCGCTTCGCCGCGGGAGCCGCAGCCGCCTTGCCGAGAGATGCCGCCCGCCACGCAGAGTCGCCGCCGCCAGCGCCAGACACGTCGCCCAGCTCGCCGCCCAGCAGCAGGCCGCCGACCGCCGCCACCAGCGCAAAGTCGCTCGATTTTTTTTTACTGAGTCGCTCGATTTGGGAGCGAGACGGAGGGGAACGAGTGGATAAGCCCGAGCAGGCATGTCACGGAGAGCGTGTGTGATGGAGGCCAGCTGGCTTTTCTTTTAGCTGGGCCAAAATCCAGTAGCGGGAGCGTAAGGAGAGTTTACGCTTTCTTTTTACCCGATTTCTATGCGGCAAAAACGAAAAAAAAATCCATTGGATGTCAGATTTTGCATCACGTAAATAATAAATAATATAGTACAAAATTTTATAATTATTTTTTATAAATATATTTACATATACAATAACTAAAACAACTACACCAATTTAAAATTGCAAAATTGAACCTTTAAAATGGGAAAAAATTAAAATTTTAAAACTAGCAATGATGGAGAGGGGGCAAGGGCAAGGGGTAGCGCAGACGGGCAAGGGCTGGCGGGCGGCGTGCGTGTGTGGGGTGACCGGGTGGGTGGCAGTTAGGTTTAGATAAGGCCTGCTGGGCCTTTTTTTAAATCTTCCCAGTGCCCCGTCCCGCACTCAGAATAACCTTCTTCCAGAGTGCCGGAAGGCACTCGGGAAGAAATTTTATTTTTTTTTTTTTCTGCTAATTTTTTTTTAGAGGCCTTCCCACGTTATGTAAAACTCCTGTTTAAATTTGGGATAATTTTTTTGACTTCTTTTTGTTATATTTAGTTAGTTTTTTCGTTTAGTTGAATTTTTTTTGCATATTTTGAATTTGAGCAGCGAGGTGCATGAAATAATAGAAATTTGGTGATTCAAAAAATTATATGATGATATTTGGTGTATGTTGATATTATCCGCATGTGATCACTTGTAGAGGCATGCGTGGGAGATGTCTCGGGTTTAGGCATCCGACGTCAGAATTCTCGAAACCTTCTCGATATTTTATCATAGCATCTACATGCGATAAAACGACGCCTTCAATAAGTTTCGATTTTCGATTCGTCAATTTTATATAATTTAAATACACTTTTCCCGCAAGTTGTTCGTCATGTTACGTCAACAAGATGCTCGACATTTCATGCGGGTTCCTGGAAAAGGCCTCAACATACACCAAATATCATTAATATAATTTTTTGAATCACCAAATTCCATTATTTCATACACCTGCAGTTCAAATTCGAAGTATGCAAAAAATTTCAACGAAACGAAAAAAACTAACGAAATATAACAAAAAAAAGTCAAAATTGTCCCAAATTTGAACTGGGAGTTTTAAATAATGTGGGAAGGCCTCACAAAAAAAATTAGGCAGAAAAAACAAAAAAAAACAAAATTTCTTCCCCGAGTGCCTTCCCTGGCACTCGGGGAAGGCAGCCTCTTCCCTGAGTGCTAGGGAAGGCACTCGGGGAAGAATTTTTTTTAAAAGTTTTAACGGCGTGGGCGGGGTAGACCGTCAAGTAACATGTTTCTTTGCTAAGTGCCGATCTTCCCCGAGTGTTGCACTCGGGGAAGAGGGCCTTTGTCGAGTACTGCTCTTTACCGAGTGCCAGGATCTCTGCGGCACTCGTGAAAGCCTCTCTTCCCCGAGTGCAATTCTTCTCCGAGTGCAACACTCGGGGAAGATTCTCTTTTCCGAGTGCCCGATTTTTGGCACTCGGGGAAGCCAGCGACACTCGGGGAATTTTACCTCTCCCGTAGTGACGTACGTCTCTGGCAGTTTTGCTGGATTATGTAATCGAAACTAGATACCAATACTGCAACAAATGACTCACCAGGTAACTTGCCCAATTATCTGCTTTTTAATTTGGCATCAATCGGTTAGCTCTCTTCGAAATATACCGATGTTGACTTAAATATTACTCATGTTCAGCATCATTATTAATTTTGTCTTCTTATTACAAGTGCTTGTGCAACCACTCAATGAAACGATAGGCTGAACTCCAGAGCAATTTTTTGGGTTGTTACAACTGCAGATTTGCACCATTGTTATATTAGCCGTTTTACTGCTTGGTTGTAGCGCCAGGGCCAATGGCGCCAACGCTTCAGTTCACGCTCTAGCAGGAGAAGGAGATATGGCACTAGCCCCTTGGCTCTGGAACTAAAATAAGATTACAATCTGCGAGATGAGGCCAAAAAGTACTTGTAAGAGGATAAGCTAAAGCTATCACCATATTCGTATGTCTTTTATTTGTGTTAATTGGCTTCTGCTACAAATATACAATGGTCACCAAGATTGTTGTAGCTGTTATCTATTTTTCACCTTGAAGTCCGACCGTGTTATCTGAAATTGGCATCTTTTATTAGACCTGGACATGACACCAATAGTGCTAACATGGAAATTGTAATCAGATCTTTTTAGAAGTCACGTGGTCATTTGTTTTGTTTTTACAAGAAATAGCAGATTGCTTAGCAACTGTCCCTGGCAAAACTATTGGGATAATTTTCGTGTAATTGTGTGAGAGCAAGTGACACATGTACTTGTTTTTCCTGTCCACTACTTGGGCTGGACACATTATAATGAAACACATCTATGTACAAATATATCTGTTATTTTGTGCATCTCTTGTTACAAGCGTTTAATTTGAATTCTCTTTTATGCAGGATTTAGTGAAGAAGTACTCTGAAATCATCAACTCAACCAAGGAGGTTGATGTTGACAACCCCAGAAACTACAAAGGAGGAAGACAGAGAAGAAGGTGAAGAAAAAGAGAAAAAGCCCAAGACGAAGACAACAAAGGACATCATGAGAAATGCTTCAACAACAAAGCAGTCTCAAGACCATCAAGAAGAAGCTGATCCACAAAGTACATCCTGATGAGTACAACAACAAAGATAAGACCAGTAATGGGGTTTGCTGGTGGGCAACAAAAATGTT